AGAGACGAGCGGCGATGAGGATGGCGGAGGCGCAGAGGAGGATCCAGAAGCAAGCCTAAAGTCGGTCAGTGATCGTCCATGGAAGAAGGGTTGATCGGCGCACGAGGGCTCCAGCTGTTGATGGAGCTGCCATGGTTTCCGGATGATCAGTGGGCTTTGACGATCTCGCGTATCAGTGACAGCGCTGATCACCAAGTTACTGAACAAGACAAGAGCGGAACGCAGATGAACTGAATTTTGTTTACTCTCAGGCAGAGAAATTCTACGAACTAAGCTGTACTGTTATCTACATAGTAATGCACGCGAGACTGGCTCGCTGGCCTCCTGAAAGATCCTTCGCGACTACCTCTGAAAAATTCTCGCTCATTAATTACTCGAACCCAAGATTCGTTGTTGGCTCTGGGATGGAACTAATGCAGGGATCAGGTCCGGGAATCCTGAATCGCATCCGGCCCAGGGTATCCCATGCCAGACTGTCGATCTTGACAACAAAAGTACCTTCGCTTAAACGATGGATGCTTCGGGGCCTTGGATCTGTCCGGGGCTATGCAGAAGGTGGCAGCAGATAGTCTTAGCGACAAACCGTTGGTCTTTGTGCATCCGGAGACTGGGGAAGATACGATGTAACGAGGATTTGGATCCATGGTAGTTTGCGGCTTTTAAAGGTGTAGCTTTAGGGCAACTGCATCATCTCGACGGTGAGTCTGGAGAGCAATCTATGCCCGAGGTCCATTGTTAAGCTTGCCGACTCGATGTGACTGATCACAAATTATTAATTGCTACAAACTTTATTTTATCCCAGCATGTTGGATAAGCTGAATAGGAACCAAAGCTGGGCATGGAGGGAGGGGGAAGCTGTAACAGTTACGAGGCAGCCTTTTTGTCGAAAAATGTCATGATAATCAGCAACAAAACGCTAGGTATAGGTTAATGGCCGTATAGAGTCGGGCAAGTCATAAAGCTGCACACCATTTCTATAATGAATGCAAAAAGCAGTCGTGATCAGGTGTCCAGGCGTCGAGGCGGATGATGCGGGGGTTGGGCCGTGAGAGGCAAGGGTTGGGCTTGAGACAACATCCCGAGAACCCGGTACATGCTGTGTCCTGGTAATGATGTTGGTTCTATCTACTCTATTTAGGCTATTAAATCTTCGGTGCCAAGGTGCTCCTGCATCTCGGCTCCATCACACAACCCCCTATCATTTAACACTGGACAATCGACCATTCTGCGTAGGGAGTCCCTTGATCTGTCCCTCCACGTTCCAATCCTCGCTACCGACGCCAACCTGAGCGTAGAACAGGCCCCGGGGATCGTACTTTTGCTTAATCTGGTACAGACGCGCATAATTGTTACCATAGAAAGACTTCTGGAAGTCTGGCTCCGTGACATCGCCTTCAGTCGCGTACGCACCCGAGTCTGGTGTTGCGTCGCGCCAAGGCTGCATCCACACCTCGGTCAACTCCCTGCTCAGCTCTGCGATGCGCTGCAGTGGAGTGTCGGCTGCCCACGTCACCCACGAGATGACAAACATGGCTGCGTCACGCCAGGGTGGGTTCACGGCATTGTCAGGGTGAGGGCCGGGGCCGCCTGTGATACCGAAGCCAATGAGTGTGCCGCCACGATCCGAGAGCCCCTTAAGGGCTTCAAATGTGGCGTTGAATTTGACAGGGTCTTGAAGGTTCTCGTCTGGGAAGAGGCGGGAAGCCATCTTGTTACCGTAGGACCCGACGGGCTCAACAGGAAAGCCAGTAGACCACGCAGAGAGGAAGCTTGAGTGTTGAGACCAGTTTGGCTCGACCTTGATGCCCAGGGAAGCCCATTTCTTGAATAACGGTGCGGTGAGCTCCTCAGCCTCCGAGATGGTCATGTTGGGTGCGAACCAGGGTGACATGACAAAGGTGGCTTTACGAGGCCCCGCCGGCCAAACGAACCAGTACTGGTAGTTACCGTGAACGTTGAAGACAGGGATCATCTCCCAGTAGGCACGCAGAGCCTCCCAAAAGGCCTCATACGTGATCGTCTCACCGTCGATGCCAAAGGCGAAGCTAGCGACAGATGTGACGGAGAGCTTGGGGTGTGCTTTGACGGTCCACGAAGTTACAACGCCGAAAGTACTGCCACCACCGCCGCGTAGAGCCCAGAAGAGATCGGAATTCTGTTTAGAGCCCGCCGTGACGAATCGGCCATCAGCAGTGACCACTTCGGCGCTGAGAACTTGGTCGGCGGCGAGGCCGTACAAAGGTGACAGTGGAGAGTGACCGCCGCCCGAAATGTAGCCTCCTGCGAAGTCAACCGTCTTGCCTTCGCCTCCGACAACGGTAACGCCATATTTGTCGGCTGCTTCGTAGAGCTCCTGGCCAATAACGCCGGCGCCGACTCTCATGGCGGGTCCAGAGTAGGAGCTGCTCTTGTAGTTGGAGTAAAATTTGACGCTCTTGAGCTTGTTCGTCCAAATGGAAAGGGAGCCTGAGCCGTGTGATCGTCCAATAAAGTCGTGGCCTGTATTCTTTACCACGAGGCGGATGTTCAAGGTACGAGCAAAGTTGACGGCGAGCTGGATCTGGGCAACGTTGGTGGCCTTGACCACGTATTCTGGATAGGCTCCCAGAGTGCAGTCGTCGGTGTAGTTACCAGAGGGGAGACAAGTAAGTCCCTGGTAAAGGGGACTCATGGCGGACGTGGGGTCGGCGATGCTATTCAAGTCAACATATTAATCTTTCAAGGGACAGGAGACAGACGTACTGCATCATGGAATCAGCCCATTTTGAGTTGATGGCCTCGCACTTGGCGGTATCCTGATTGCCAAAGTCGTCATAGCATGGAGAAGCCAGAGGCGTCGTCTTGATCAGAGCTCCTCCGACAAGAAGGTCAAGGACCTGCCAGGCGATCTTTTGCGGCCAGAAGAGGTCGCCAGGGTACGTCTTGCAGCGCCCAAGAGACCGACGTTGGACGGATGAGGCCTCGTCGTAGTAAAAGTACGAGATGTTTGTCAGGCCAAGATCAGTTAGATTGAAGAGGACGTCGTCGGTCAATTGCTTGGTCTCTTCTGGAAGAAGATCACCTTGGACCTGCTCAACGGCTGGAGCAACATTATCTTCTGTGGCATCTCGCGGGATGTTAGCCAGGTCATGAGGTAGTCATACATGAGTTTTACGTACCGACTTCAGCGCCCTCTACAATTATGGTTTGGCCTGTCACCGGGTGGATCGGGGCCAGAGAGGCGAGAAGAAGAGCATGCAACTTGGTCATTCTTTCCAATACGACCGCGAGCAAGGTTTGAAAGGTCGACGATGTGCAACAATCAACCACAAAAAGGCAAAGATTCTCGTTACTTATAGTCTTCTCTACGAGAGCCAGAGGGCATGAGAACCAGCTTGGGATCCTCATTGTGGTGTGGTGGAGCTCTCGCGTGGAATTGCGCCCTGAACGCCCCAGCCGGGCAAGGCACCCATGCACGAGAAATAAGCCCTCAGGGGAGGCGGCTGTATTGCCTATTTTGGGCATTTAATCTTCCCAAAGGAATAAAAATTCACTCGTCGTGCTTAACGACATTGGGATTTAGTGTCAGCTTGCCTTGATCACTGTATTCCTGCTGTTATGGCCGATTACCTTTTTAGGGGATTCCCTTGCCAAGGACAACCTCTCTTCCGTGCGGGGCAATGGTGGCCGATGCATGAAATTGGTTCGCTAAAGCTGTGATCAATTCTCGTTATGTTTGAGTACCCAGTAAACATCTGTAAAACAAAGTTGTCTGTTAGTACTGAACTCTCTCCAAGTGGTTGGTTATCCTCTCCATCGAACATCCCTTGGTGCGACTCTGTGAAAGATGGCCAAGTGGCACTCAATCGAGGCACAACTGAGTTGAGAACATATAGCTCCGAGTGGTGAACAGGATTTGAAAAAGCATGCCGGACGATCTACTTTGTTCGCTCAAGGAACATCAAGACTATGAGAGTAAGGGAGAATACCTTTTACCGCATATATTATACCTTCACACACAATCGCAATCAAGACACGCTCTCACGCTGCGGTTACTAGGCCCCAACCTGGTTGGTTTGTGCGAGGGGTCAGCAATGAATAGAAGCTGCCTCAATACCTTAAAAAGGACGCTTGATCTAGTAATGGCCGGAAGAAAAGTCTTACTAAAGGCTCCACTCGCATCCAACGAGTGAAATCTACTCGCATAGTTAAGTTTGTGTACATACTGTCCTTACAGACTTCAGATCGTCCTCTATCAAAATTTTCAAGTTGAAAAGCGCCCTCAGGCTTTTCTTGAGAGTGTGATGGCCTCTGTCTTGAAGGCATTTGAAGGGGTTAGAGGCTTGCTTCACCCTCGTCCTCCGTGGTGCCGTGCCAGTTTGTGGCATCATAGCCACGATTAATCATCTTCCTGATGGGTATTTCGCGGAGGGTAAGGGAATCTATTAGCTTACTACAAAATCTGTAAAGGGACTTGCTCAAGTGGCCAAGCGCTAACATGGCTAGATCTCTTCACGGACTGTCGCGTCGACGACGAGCTCTTAACACAATCAATCTCTGCTTTCTCCTTCCACACTCATTGCAAGAACTGGACAATTTTGCGGCAAGGTGTTGGTTGGGCAGCAAGCTGCCTGTTATCACTTGAAAGACCCATCCGGTGGGCCAAAATAATTGTTATAGTCTTCAACGACGAGTCCGCAAGAGACCGCCAGCTACAATGAAGAATCAAAAGCCGATATTACTGCAGCGGATCCCAGTTCTTTTCAACCCAATTTCTTGATTGCTCGTGACTGCCACCTGGGAAGCCCTGACCCCGCGTTCAGGTGGCTGAGGAGGCAGAGGCAAACATGTCTGCCTTGTCTCACACCGGGCGAACCATCTGGCTTGCGTAATGCGCCGTCGCGAACAATATCCTTCAGTGTAAAACCACTCAGCGAACTAATTACGGCGTCTATATATATGCACACAAGCCCCGCTCACTTGGACTTGTTTCCCCTCACTGGCATCGAATCGACTGTCCCATGGAGCACTCAACTTCACCCGCCCAGGAGGGTAGCGAGGCAAACAACACCATTCTCCTACCGATTTTCAATCTTATCATCCCTAGTCGTTCAAATAGCCCCCTGCAACTCGATGCCTGTTATTTCGAGTCTGCGGGCTTGCTCGACGAGTCTTGCACCCAGGAGCAGAGTGACTGTGGCTTGAACTGGCCGTCCGATCCCGGCTTCCAGGACTACGAGCCTCCCCTGGCTAGCCCTCAGCCTATCTGGTGGCAAGATTCTCCACCAGTGCTACGAAAAAGCGAGTCTCTAGAGGAGCAGCTGACCCGAGCCCTGTGCCAGCACGCACACAAAGAGTCCAAGGGATTTCTCCCCCTAGAAAAGTTGCACGAGCTAGTCGTCGAAGACTCGGTGGCAGAAGCCCTCACCACCTACATTCCGGGCCTCTCCCTCGATGATGCCAGAAGCCACGCACAGGAGATCTGCCCCAGATCCATGCGCGCTCCCCTACAGCCGTCTTTCCGCCGCATGTTTGCAATCCTCGTCATGATCCAGCAGCCGCAGGAGATCCTCACCTTTATCAGACACAATATCGCAGACCACGACTTGCCGCTCGTCAGAGTTCGGCATGGCAACAAGGGGGCCCACGAGCTTCGGCGAAAAACACAGCCGCATAAGACGCTGGAGTGTCTAAAGGGGTGGTCGCCGTTTCTGGTGAATTCTTTTGAGGAGTATCAATGGAAAACATCAGCACGACGCAGACGTCTCAGGAGACGGGGCTGGAACAGGCCCGTCGGTTCGCTTGCCCCTTCTTTAAGATGAACCATTATAAGCAAGGCAAGACTTGCTCACGAGGATGGGAGCACATTCATAGATTGAAGTGAGTTGGCTACGCCCATAGGACTATTAAGAACAGACTGCCGACGTTTCATATAGAGAGCATCTGTTTCGGAAGCACACTCTTCCAGACCACAGATGCACCCGGTGCTTATCTCACTTCAGAGACAATGCCGCGCTTGAAGCCCACGTTCGCTCCGTCACGCCCTGTGTGACTTAAGCTGACCAGGTCCGGACAGACAATGATTATAGTCTTCCATCATCGACGACGGTAGAATACTCCGAGACTATCGATGACTATAGCAAGTTCCTCAACGGAGGAATACCGTCCCACGTGCAGACTGAGCTGCGGCTACGATAAGTAGAGAGCTAGGGGTTAGTGAAGTTGACGGGAGGAAGATTGTGGACATAATCCCGATGTTGCAGCAAACGCTGTGGCAGTCGTTCCAGAACTATAAAGGAGGATTATCACAGGGCTAAATGGTGGAGCTGAGCTACAGTAAAAGAGGATTGCTGTTTGGATATCTAACTACCTATCGCTGCACTATGTCCTACGATCCAAACCGCACCGCTTCGAAGGTCGACCGACGGCCCAACGACCCGTGATTGACCAGGCTTTCGGCTTGGTATACATAGCAGCGTGGACTAGGTGTAATCATTGGCCAGAACAGTCCTGGGTATAAGACACGTCAATCAGCATGCTACCCAGAGCATAAGAGGCATTGATAAGCAACCACGTTGGATATTCTACAGCACCGTATCATAGAATAAGCTAATTCCAATTGCCTTCTTTTACAGCCCCTCAATCACCCTGGGCAACAAAAGGTCGTTAAACCACCACAGATGAGTTTGGAAGTTGGCAACCCAGGCTCCGCCTGTCCACCAGGTTGACCGTCGTCCCTGCAGGGCATACAGATCCTGGATGAAGCCCTTTCTCATTTCTTTGACCGAGGTGTGCATGTGCATGGGACCATGCTGCGCGAAAGCAACAAACTTGACCTTGGATGAACCAGACGCCTCAACTGCGCCGCTTTTAACAAGGGTATCAAAACTTGACTGAACCAGCTTCTTGGCATCCTTGCCATCAAAGTTTCGGTCACCAATGACCATGATCCGGAAAAGTTCATCGGTTGCACCTGTCCCAATCCATTCGAAGCGCGCGAGGAAAGGAAGGTCAGGGAAGGCGAGGAAGTTGCTGGGAGCGGCAGCCTCGGGCAAGTTGGTGAGGGAGTAGTTCTTGGGCAGAGATGGATTGGAGACGATGCCGGCGTAAAGGCGTGTGTAGTCTAACTTGGAAAAGACCGTGTTTTCCGCCTTGTCGAGGTCGAACGGAGCTAGGTTGCTCTTAGTAGGCTCAATAGACAGCAGCAAGCGCTTGGCCTTGATCTTGATGAGCCTGCCCGACGATGTCTTGACAGTGAGGTGAACACCGTTTTTAGCTCTCTTAGAATTGACAACCGTGGAAGAGTATAGCACGTCTTTTCCCAGCTTCTTCGCAAATGCATCGTATATATCCTGGTTGCGTTCAGAGGCCGGGGCAAAGGATGCCATTTGGCCGAGAAACGATCGTGCCATAGGCCCGCCGAACGCTTGCATCACGACTAGTGTCGTTCGACGAGTCACGTCGCCAACGCCAAGCCCAGTGGTTTGGAACAACATGGGAACAATGGCTTCAACACTGTGCTTCTTGGCAAAGTCGCCAAAGGGAATGAGTAGATCCTTGGGGATATCGCCGGGGGCAGGAAAGTCCTGCAAGCTTGGAAGAATCATGTTCTCATACAAGGCGCAGAGTTCAGCGTACTTGACTAGGGCAGCCGATAAAGCAGCCGGGGCAGGACCAGTATAGTTGACTTCTTTGCCGGTTCCAAAGTCCACATATCGGGTCAATCGCGACTCCCGACCGGGGACCTTGATCTCAACTCCAAGGCGCTTCGTTACAAAGTCGGAGGCACCGTTGACATCAATGAAGGACTGGACGCCGTAGTCGTAGGCCTTGCCTGAACTGGAGTCGACGTACGAGTCCACATGACCTCCCTAGGGCTGTTAGGAAATGATGCATGGATATCAATTGATGAATGTCTCACCAGGATGGCTTCCTTCTCAATCAAGATGATGCTTTTCCCAAAGTCTTCTCGGAGACGAAAGGCAGCGTGAGCACCAGAACCGCCGCCGCCGATGATGACGACATCCTTTTCAATGACCGAGTTGTACGCGCCAGCGGTAGCGACAGAGGCCGCTACGAGAAGGCCTACGAGCGATCGAGCAAGAGAGGCCATGGTTGTGAGCACGGAAGATTGGACAAAGGTATAGAGAAACTACTGAAGAAAGGCTCTGGGTCGCCGTTTTATCAATTCTCAGCCCCCTGCATACGACACAAATCAGCCGATATCTGCATATCGACGAGGAAAAAAAACCCAGTCAGAGATGCATCAAGACGGGGATTGAAGATGCAGTCAGCTTGAACAAGGACCAGGGTGCTCGTGCACCCCGGAGCACATCCCCAAACTGTACGGATACTTAGGTACCGTACTAACCAGCGAATAGATAATTTACTGCCACGAGGTTGCCCTCGGGGAGCTACTACTTATCTTGAACAATGTAATAGCTAATCATTCGACTCCTACTCTTTGGAACTCCCTATTTGATTAGTTGAAAGCTTGTTCAAGTGCCGCCGCTAAGATCCGATACCGTCTCCGCGGGAAGCCGGTGCCGATTTGATCTGCCGTCGGAGCCCGGGATCTAACCCCGCTCTCGGATCTTGGGATGGGTTGCACAGGGCGCCTAGATATAGAGCGATGAGTACTGCGCAACAGGATACAAGGTATGACATATCAAACCTCATTGATTTATGGTAACACTCGCCTTTCTTGTATTACCCTGCCATGGAGCCCGAAACCGTTCAAGTTGTCATCTGCGGCGGCGGTTCTGCCGGCCTCACGGCTGCCATCTGGTTGGCCCGTTTCGGCATCGACTTCAGGATCCTTGAACGACGTCCAGGACCTCTTGAGATCGGCCAAGCCGACGGTGTCCAATGCCGCACCGTCGAGATCTTTGAGAACCTCGGCCTTTCTGATGCTCTTCTGAAAGAGGCCTATCACGTCATGGAAGTGACATTCTGGTCCCCGGATGAGCAGGGCCAACTAAAGAGGAAACATGTTGCGCCTGATACCAAGGTGGGCCTAAGTCATCAGCCCCATGTCATTCTCAACCAAGCACGGATCAACGAGATGATGCTTCAAGAGATGATTCGTCTGCGAGGGAATGGGTCAAGCGGAGTTGTGTACAACTCCCAGGTCGAGAGCGTGCGCATCCTGGACAATGCTTGCGACTACCCTGTTGAGGTGGTAGCTTTACAAAATGGGGTACCATCTCGATACCGGGCGAAATACGCAATCGTAAGACTGTCACCGCCTCAATCCCCAGCTTACTGCTAATTGGTCTATCTCTAGGGCTGCGATGGTGCTCATAGCACAGTCCGCAAATCGCTTGGTTTCAACATGGTCGGCGACTCGAGTGACTCCGTCTGGGGCGTCATGGATGTCTTTCCAGACACAAACTTCCCGGATATTCGCAAGAAGGCCATGCTCAACAGCAATGCTGGGAATCTCATGATCATTCCCAGAGAAGGCGACGAACTCGTCCGCTTCTATATTGAGCTACCAGGCAAAATAGCTCGAGAAGTGACCAAGCAAGACCTCATTGACAAGGTTAAGCGCATTTTCTACCCCTACACGCTAGATGCCTCCTGTGTCGTGTGGTGGTCAGCATACGTCATTGGCCAGCGTATCGCAGACCGCTTCACAAAGGACTTTCGCATCTTCCTCACAGGTGACGCCTGCCACACACACTCCCCCAAGGCTGGTCAGGGCATGAACGTTAGTCTTCAGGATGGCTTTAATATCGGATGGAAGATGGCCCATGTCCTGACGGGCCGAGCCCCGCCTTCAGTACTGGAGACATATGTGCTCGAGCGTCAACAGACAGCACAACAACTCATCGACTTTGACCGTTCGTTCAGCAAGTTGTTCTCCACCGAACACCAGAAGAAGAATGGGATCACAGCCGCCCATTTCCGCGACAAGTTCGTGCAGGCCGGACAGTATACTGCCGGCATGGCTACCAAGTACAGCTCGTCAATCCTGACTTGTCCGAGCAGCGACGACGGCACCATCGCGTCAGGGCTCAGTGTTGGAATGAGGTTTCCCAGCTCTCCGGTCGTGAGGCTATCTGATGCAAAGCCTGTGCATTTGAACAAGGCCCTGCCGGCGGACGGACGATGGCACCTCCTGGTCTTCTGTAGTGGAGATGCGGCAGCCAACAAGTTGACACAGGTACTTATATGAGGATTGAGTGACATGGCACCATTTACTAACTCTTCTAGGTCGCTTTCCAGTTGGAAGAAATGGTTCAGAAGTTTACACCATTTGGGGCGCCGGCAGATGAAATCATGAACCCAACCCTCATCATAAGGGGTGAGCGGAAGAGCCTCGAGATTGAAAAACTCCCAAGATTCTTCTTTCCTAAGACTGGAAGGTATATGTTGACAAGTAAGTCACAACTGTGTTCCAAACATTTGCACTATACTAACTCTGCTATGCCTAGATCTCCACAGAGTGTTTGTCGACGAACAGAATCCATATATGCTGGATTGCGGGCGGGTGTTTTCAACATTTGGTATCGATGTAGGTCGCGGTGCAGTCGTCATTGTTCGACCTGATTTATGTAAGCTCCTCCCTATACCTGCTATTTTAGCCGCTGCTTACTGAGTGTGACAGATGTGGCCAAGATAAGTGGCCTAGAGGAAGTTTCTTCGACCTTTTCGTTCTTTAAAGGCTGCTTGAACTGTACTGGATAACCAAGCCATGTGTGTCGTCTCTTAAGGTCTCATCAACTACAGCCTTGTTGCCAAGTTAGGGCCTCAAAACCATGACGATGCCGGCTGTTTCCTCATGGCGATGCTCTCGTTCTCCGCCTAGTCTCATGGTATCAGTTGTAAATATTTTATCAAGTCCACAGGCAGTTTTCTCAATTATCGGAACTTTTCCACTTCCAATGTGTTTATGTGTTTTCCATCGCCAACGCTGATATGATGCAACTTCCCCAAACCCAGCTCCAACAAACTGATGTCCAATCTTAACATAAACCGGGCCAGGTGTATCATCCAATTCCGGTACGTACGGGCACCAGTGCTTCCACAAATGTTTCTGGCTCTCTACCTCTTCCGCCACTGCCAAGGCCATGCCAGAGAGGGATATTCCATGCATCCGACCATCAAAAAGGGCAATGCCGCTCTCATTCCCTTTGGCGGGTTTGAGAGGCATGAAATCGAAACAGACTTCATATGACCCCGTACGTTTTCCAGGCCGATACAATGCCGGGGTGGACATGAAAGTCCAGTTGAAAGATGCATTTCCGTGGAAGAACATGGCCGTCAGTCGCCCGCCTCTATGGAACTCGACAATAGGGCCGTTTAGGTCGAACATTCCATGCACCGCTTCCGTAATCATTCGTGTCTCAGCAGTACCTCTGCCATCTTTCTCGGCTATCTAAGCTTGACGAGCAACCAAGAGTTTTTCGGCGACCTCGCCAGCCCATTCTTGAGCATGCTTCACGTAAGCCTCACTATCAAGTATTCCCCGGATGAAGGCGTAATAGAATCTCATCGTCACACGCTGTGACTAATGGCCTGTATGGAACTCTCATAATGGCGGAGCCGCCGATAATGATGAAGTATGGTACTTTGGCTGCCTTAGAAGCGATGGGGATCTTTCTGGTAACTTCTGTAAAGGTTTCTAAAAAGGGTGTTAATGTTGCGTTTCATACTTGAGTATGGCCTGGACAGGTGGGCTTACTCTACGTCAAAGCGTCGCCAAGTTGGGTGTGTTGACCGTACGCGTTTACCACAACATCCAGAGATTCAAGAATCTTTGCTATTTCTTCAATGGGCGTGGCGTCTAGATCAACTGCCCTCGGCTCGTACCGTTCGTGATGGCCAAGCTTAGTGGGATTTCGTGAAATGCCGATAACCTGATGGCCTCTATTTAGCAGCTCAACGGCCACATGCGATCCGGTCATCCCAGTCACCCCAGTCACACCGACTTTGGTGACAGTCATTGTGTCTTAGAACTTGGTGGACGTAAAAGATGAAACGCAGAAACGTAGAGAGGCAAATTAATGAATGGATGGCAAAGAGCCACTCGCCAGTGAATAAACTAGTTGCTGAATATATAGTCACTTTGAATATGACCCTCTTTTTTGGTTCATGCATCGGCAACTACGAATACTAGCATCTCGGACTGCTCATAGTCTCCGACACGAGCCGATTCATTTACGGACTGGAAGGTTCCGAGAACACGCTTAGTCAGTGAGAAGCGGCGAAGATAACCAAGCACAACATATAACCAGACGTCCAAGAGTTTCAATCTTTCACTGCTCTTATCTGGCAGGGTCAAAGGGGTCGGTTGTAAACTACGTGGCTTGAAAAACACCACTTGAGTTTTCAGTCCCCAGTCATCATCAATGATCTTATCAGAGTACACTTGACACCTATGGAAAAAGTAAAAGTTCGAAATGTTCATAAAATGCTTAACATATCTCCAGTTTTAGCAGCGGATCGAACTGTGAGGTCAGACTACTCTTGTTAACATAATCCAATGTAATATGTGGCATTAGAAAGTCGGGCTCTCCGTAAAGATAGTTCTAATTGCATATGTATTCTCTAGATCAACGCCCCTTCCTTTCTAGAAGTGGCCAACATGCCGAGTTCATTTTGCTTCTGAAGGGATGTGACATCATGTTACAACCACTCAAGCACGCTCGCCTAGTCCAACTCACCAACCACGTCACAGTCACCAAGACCGGACGCCGCGACAAGGATGGCCCCTTTCGTCCTGCTGCTCGAGATAGCAACACCTACCGTGCTCAGCATTCAGGGGGTAGGTGGAGGCCTTCGGAGTGTTGTTCTTGACCGGCCGGCTTATATAAGCGGCTGAATGGGGAAGCATGGGATACCAATGTTGCGGAATTGCTATGGAACCCAGTGTTACGCTTTTCCCTGGATGTGAGATAGTCCCGGTTGACTGTCAATTAAAGGGTGGCTACCTTGGACTAGCACACAAAGACACTGTTTCTTTACTCCTTCGCTTTGGGGGAAATTAAGCTAATGTCACCTTGATCCATTCAGGTGTAGCTCTTACCCAAGCAGCTTCGTCTACAGACCCTGCTCCAATACGGTGCGCAACCCTCTGTTCTATATCATCCCACTCGATGACGAGGACATGTAACTTAGGTAGCACCTTTTCCGCTCGCATCTCCTCATGAACGCGAGAGACAACAATCAGACAATGGTCCCCTTCGTTGGTGCTGCTTGGGAGTGCATACTCCGACATCCCTCCTACCTTTCTTCCATGTTGGTCTGTCATCTCCCACCCATAACCTAGATCGCGTCCTTGTAGCACTTTGTTCAGTCGAAGGGTGGTTGAGCTTGTCCAGAAGAGCAAGCGTCCAGAATCATGAAAGTCCACGGAACTAAAATCGTCCTCGTTGATTGATGTGGAGTGTTTCCAGCCTCTGGCCAACTCCTCATCGAGCGCACTCGTATCGAGCGGCTTGACGTACGGAGCGAATAAATTTCGAGGCATTTGAGCCCGAACTCTACCGTAAATGTCGAGTTTGTAAAACTCCAGCTCAGGCATAACCATATCCGTGGCAGTTGGAAGGTTGAAAAGCTTCCCCAAGCCGGCATGCTCAAAGTCCCAACCTAACCAGGACCAGCTTGGAAATCTCACATGATGAGACGATCCGTCACGGTTATATACGCATTCTTTTGCCACGCGGCGAGCACAGTCACCACCCGTCCAAGCCAGCGACTCCTCAAAACGGAGGAAAAGAAGATGACCCCAGCTGCTTTGAGCAAGTGTGTGCTTCATGTAGAGTCGGTGAAGATAGCCCTGGATGGCTTTTAGGGAGTCGGACTGATTCGTTATGCTGCGCTTTGCGTACTGTGATATTACCCTGTAAGCGTACTCAGCCCTGAACGCTTGGCTTGGTCCTATCTCCATCAAGTCGTAGCACCCGAACGACTGGTAAGAGGTGATTCTGGGCTCTATTCCCTGTGCCGAGCAAAGCTCGAGCGCGAGGCTCTCGCACCAGGTCGCCTTTTGGCATCGCCAAAAAACCTCGTCATCGGTGAACATGATCAGCCGGCGGGAAAGGAGTGATTCTTGCATGGTCCAGGCACGGCGTTTCCATGTTGACTTCTCGTATGCTGTGCCAGTGTAAAGGTGTGTGCTACGAATCAGATGTAGAGACGACGAAACCGGGACCATCGCTTGTTGAGGATGCCGCATCAGAGATTCTCTCACGCCAGCGATACCCATGTCCGCATGCAAGGCGCTGACAGCAGCAATCGTGCAATATGCATTGGCATACACACAATCCATGTAAGAAAGCTGGCGTCGCTTGTCATCGTCGTCGTCCTGGATAATGCATAGAGAGTCGATCCAGAGATATTTGAATCCAATGGATCGAGCCACTTTGATGGCATCGAAGATGGTCTTGGGGACAACATCGTGTAGCAACAAACAGCCAGGGCTGCGTAGCCATTGCACTGTCCTCCGTGTGTTTGTCAAGCGGTTGTGGGCTGTTGATCCCCATACGTAGCTCAGTGCAGAATACTGACAATCTTCTGGACCATCGACGATACAAAATTGTTCGGTATCGACGAACCTGAGTTGTGGGGACTTGTCGTCCTCAGTCGATCGCCATGCCGGCATGTGGCACGCATTCCCATGGCGCTCGCGGCAACAGGACATCCATTGACGGAGCAGATGTGGCTGATAGTACGGGGTCATTAGCCGGCCAGAAGGCTGCATAGGATATGTAGGTTCCGGGGTGAAGTCTTGAGTGTTGGATGCATGAGGGACTGGATCACTGCAAGGCTGGAGTACCAGGACGGTCCTCGGGAAATAGGTGCTCTGATTCACCACGCACACACTGAGCTTGTTGAAGTTGATAACCTCTCCTAGATGGCCGGGAAGTTTCGCGTAGCAATCCGTGCCAATGTAGCATTGTAGTCCCTGTAGATCGCGTCCTCCACTCCGTCGCATGATGGCTCTGGCGATGAGGGTACAAAGGAAGCATTGGCGAGACTCAAATCTTGCTAGTACATCTTGGACCGTGCCCAAGGAAGGGCGATACTGCTCTAACCTGGCTTGCCTACAAAGTCGTGAAAAGTCGATCCTTTGGCAAGTGATACAAAGCGGCTTGAGAAGGAAAAGATCGAGAGTCTCCTGCGTCATGGTTGGTAAAAGGTGCGTACAGGGGGAAGTGATACGAGTAGGATGTTTGGCTGGGGGTTGGGTTGAAAAATGAGGGGTAGGATGACTAGATAAGAATCCTCAGGCCAGCAAACGCCACAATCTCAGCCTGATCACCTGCCCTAAGATTAGAAAGAATTTCGGGATTAATACCCTCACAAGGTCTTCGTTCGTGAGGCGATTGTCGGCTGTCACATCTTACAGTAGTCTGGTTGGCAGAAATGTTTAGAGAGCTGTGTGTCTAGACTATTTCGAAATGAGTAACCTGGGCATAGCTTACCCTGCATGGAATGGCTCGCCACCAACTCTATAGGAGGGGGATAATGCTGAAATAGATCTTTCACAGAGTCCTATTTTCTGCAACTTAGCCCAGTTTCCGGATCTCAGTTATACTGCAACAATGGTTCCGACGTTGAGTCAAGTAGCGGCTCGTCCAACGTTTTGGACACAGACTGCATTAGGGTAGAACCAGAGCACCCCTTGGAGCTCACGAGACATAATAATTCAAGAGCCAGATTTTTTGTCTGAGCATAACCTTACTTACAGTAAGCCTTCTATATGTACTTTTACCAAATAAATGAAATAGTAGCAAATATGCCTTTCCTACCTGAGGAACTTTTGTGATATGTACCAAGGGCTCAAAATGCCAAGCTGGCTTGGAAGAAAATCCTAATCTTCCAGCTTCAAGATGTTGATACTCTTTTCCCATAATTTTCCCGGACCCTCTTCATCGTAAGCCCAATCGGCATAGCCTGCGCGGCCTGTACCTGGCAGCTTAGCTACCTGGGTATCCTCCAAATACGAGCCACCCTTACCCTCAAGTTCAGGTGAAACAGCCGCTAGGACGGTTGTTGCAGCTCCCTGTTCAATGCTCTTCCAAGTCTTGGCCAGTTCTGCATCAGCCGCCCAAACCTGCTTGACCTCCTCGGAAACATGGCGTTGCAGCTCAGTGCGGATGCTGCCAGGGTGGACAGCCCACGCGTGCAGGCCATGGGCCCCAAATCGTTTCTCGATTTCCCGTGCCGTCCACAAGTTGGCCGTCTTGCTCTGGCCGTACGCCTTCCATGGCTCGTATTCACCCTCCAGATTGAGATTGCCGAAATGAACGGAACCAGCCTGGTGGGCACAGGATGAAAGAATTATAACCCGGGAGTTGAAATTGGGTGTCGATGAGCGAAGTAAGGTATCCTTGAGCAGGTAGAAGAGGAGGAAATGCCCTAGATGATTGGTGCCGAACTGTGTCTCGAATCCATCCGCGGTGCGGCCTTCCGGAGTCGCCATGACGCCAGCATTCTCGATAAGGATATCCGACTGTGTGCTCTTGGACTTGAAGTTCTCTGCGCAAGTACGCACCGAGTCTAGGGAGCTCAAGTCAAGTTATAGGAAATGAAGACGGGGACTGTCGACCAAATCATGCAGTGCCCCCTTGGCCTTGTCGACGTCGCGAGCAGTCGCATAAATTGTTGCACCAGTACAATGAATTGCACGTACTGTCTCAACCCCTACTCCTGACGAGCAGCCAGTAATGAGGACAATCTTTCCGGTCAGTTTCCCTTCCAAGTCATAGTCGGTAATGATTTGAGAGGCAGTAGGGCGTGCATCGCCAGGACCGTTCGGATTCTCGTGTGCGGTGACGTACTTTGAAGTCATACTGTAGGTGGAAGAAAGAATAAAAGGTTGGTCGTAGGAAATGCCGCGGAATAAACTTCAGGCCTGGGCAATGTTGGACTTGTTTAGAGACAATCGCTTTGGTGGATTTTCTGCCACCGAAACTCGTTTTTGAAGCAGAATTCAAGTTCCTATCCACCAGCAGCTTGCATCAACCTTGGCAGTCATTGCACGATTGATCCCGGTTCTCAGAATTCAGGTGATTATGGCTGGCGTCCTTGCCGTCTTCCGCGCCATTAAACGCGCAAACTGTACTTCTGGGTGTGATCTCCGTGAGAGTCATACCACCCCTGTACACACTGGGAATGTTGAGGACACACTGTTACACACAGTCTAAGAGCCGTGGCCCCTCATTGTTATCAGCCATTTGCATGAAGTGGGAAGTATGAATCTACTTCGATGGAGCTAGCATAGTTTCAAGATGGTGTCATCCGCGGATGCAGCATGTTACGCTATCGACTATCTTGGTGTGATGTTGGCAGTTTTATTTGCTTGTGTCAAATCAATGTGAATCCTCAGCACCCCCCTGTAGGCTCACCTCCCCCTTACATCCAAGTATCATGCCAGTAAAGGCGTTTTTCTCCTCTACACTCTCGCCATCTGTTTGTCGCTTCCAATACCTCCGGACAGCCTTGAAGTAACCAGCCCCATTTGTGAAGAAATGAAATGGACGCTTCCCAGCCGCTGGGATCACAAGGCTCCCCCCAAACGATCAGGCTTGGCCTCGCCGTGCCGTCGTAGTTCATCTCGGCCACGTCAGCACACAGTTCATCGTCGTCCATGAGATTCGCGGCGACTGCCTGTATGACATTGTCTCTGAACCTTGGGAATGGAAACACATCAAGCCAAGGATGGTGCATGATCTGATGCTGTACAGCGGTAGGTTCCAGATTTTGGGGGCAGGTAGGCGCATACTGTGTTGGCCCGAGCTGATTAAACGGCGATATAATCTCCTCGAGACACAAGATTTCAGGCTTGAAACCCATCTGAACAGCGTTCTTGGCCATGGCGATGTTGATGTTCAATGTGATGAGAAATGGGAGTTGAGAGACACGGGGCGTGTTCATTATATGGTGCAGGTAGGCATCGTGCGCGAGTGCAAAAATCCTCTCTCGGATTTCGGCGCTCTCAAATATTTCACAGGCATGTAGAAGAGCGTCCAGAACAACATATGTTGACGTCTGGGGTGCCGTTTCGGTTGACGATGTTAGTACACCTGAATCGAGTAACCCAGGTTCCATCACCACTCTGGATGCGGCTCTGTTCTGCTGGCCCTGAAGCCGAGCTTTCTGGTCTACTTCAAATCTTAGAAAGTAATAAGCTAGACACGATGGAGGGAGGAACTGACATTGTGATCTTTTGTTAAGCCGGTTTTGCCGCTTCCTCCGCTCAGCCGTACTCGTGACACCAGTCCAGTCCTCTGCAGGGGTTTGGGCCAGTAATTGCTGGGGCATGCGCTGAAGGATGATGCCGAGTGGAGTTTCCATAGCTGGAGCCTGTATTCGCCGTGGACAATTTGATTGATGTGACCGGGAGAACGACCGTGTGCATATGAAAAAGGGTGAGATTGACTGGTTGGAGGCCGATGTTCTTGTGTTGACATCACCACATGCCACGTGAGACCTTGGCTGATGAAGGTTAAGCTTTGGGAGCCCGTCGGATAGTGGATACATATCAGCAGGCTGCATTAGCGTCAGAACTACGTGGAGCATAGGACATGGATGGACCGGCCAAGATGCGAGGGAGATGAACCAATCATAAGGGCACTTCGGGTCAAAGCCTCATCCAGACCAAGCAGTCTTGACTTGAAGTGCTTGCTATCAGCAGCTTGCATAACACTGCCACACGCCGCGGAGTTATCTCGGACCGATTCGAGTCAATCACTGAGAGTTAATTCATCAACACTTCAATGACCTCCGGACTGGGAGCCCTTGCTGGAGTGTTGCCTCTCCTGCCTTGATGATCACGGAGCGACCCAGTTTCGGGTCAACCGTTCATCACCATGTATGTTGGCATGACGACGACTTCATGTCCAAAGTATGGAATGACGCGCGGCCTCGGGCCTATATATCATATCTCCTATTCGCAATAACATAGATGAGTAGAACTCCAGCAGCTATTAAAACACTTACATGCCACCCAGACATCGGCATCTCACCAGGTTCACAGTATCGGCTCCAACAACCCAATAAGCTCCTCGTGTTCAACCGACGCAACCAACGACTGCGCAGCACCACCAAGATGTTTGGACGCCGCCCTGCCGCAGTTGGCGTCATGGCGCTCGTCAATGCCATGGCCGCCACGGCTCAGAATCTATCGTTTGGGGCCGACAACTTCTACCGCAGCCCAGACGTCCAAATCCAGCCCATCACGTTCCCGACCCAGTACCATACCACCGTCTCGGCCAACATCTTCTACCCACGCAACCTAAGCCGTAGCACCGAGACCGCCGCCATCGTCGTCGGCCACCCCATGGGCGCCGTCAAAGAGCAGAGCGCCAACCTCTATGCCACCAAGCTCGCTGAACAGGGTTTCATCACCGTCTCCATTGACCTCCCCCATTGGGGCGGCAGCGATGGCGAGCCTCGTAACGCCGTCTCGGTCGAATACTATTCGGAGGCATTCAGCGCCGCTGTCGACTACCTCGGCCTCCAGGACTTTGTCGACCGTGAGCGCATCGGTGGTGTTGGTATCTGCGGCAGCGGTTCTTTCATCATCAGCGCCGCAAAGATCGACTCCCGTTTCAAAGCAATCGCTACTGTTAGCATGTACGACATGGGTGCAGCCTCTCGCAACGGCATCCGAAAGTCACAGACCCTAGTCCAGCGCAAGGAAATAATCGTCGCCGCCGCAGCCCAGCGCTGGAATGAGTCTGAGGGCGCAGAGACCGAGTTGACTGGAGGCACTGTAGACAGGCGCGAGGACGCTGTCGACCCTATTCAGCAAGAGTTCTACGACTTCTACCGCACCACGCGCGGTGAGGTCACACCACCCGGTGCTCTGCCCAACACCACGACTCACCCAACACTCTCGAGCCAAGTCAAATTCTTTAACTTCTACCCATTCAACGACATCGAAACCATCTCGCCCCGTCCTCTGCTCTTTATCAGCGGCGACCAGGCTCACTCGCGAGAGTTTAGCGAAAATGCCTACGGACGTGCTGCCGAGCCCAAGGAGCTGATCTGGGTCCCTGGTGCTGGCCATGTCGATCTGTACGATCGAGTGGAGCTTATCCCCTTCAATAGACTTACCCGCTTCTTTGAGGACAACTTGTGAAATAGCAGTACAAGGTGAGCTTGGAAAGAGTCGGCTGTTTTCTTGTAGATAAGCCTTATTCCTTCTAGGCTCTTTCTCATTATAGCATATTCTTCTTTTCATCGAAGGTGTCTCTCGGAGACGCCGTCCACACAATATTATAGATAAACTTGATGTTTTATCTTGACATTAAAGCCCACAATCGTGACGCTGGTGAATTTCCATCCATTAATTAAACCTTTCAGAAAGCAATTCCACCAAGACAACTATTTCGAATCCTGGAAGGCCAATTAAAAAACGCAGCCAAATGAAGCAGCATTCAACTACGCCATTGGATTCTCCCGCAAAGTCTTCTAACAACCTAAAAACACACAGGAAACTCCTTACGTTGTTCACGATGGAGACTAACCGTTAGTTTACACCCAAGGCCTTCCTATTGATGGCCCGGCCTTAAGCCAGATCAAATTTTACGCTTCAAGCTCAACTGGGAGGCTTCCCAGGACTTTCCCCCATCCCCGCCGTCCAAGGATTGTCAAATTTAGCCTCCTTATTAGCTACAGCGGAAGCGGAAGCACGACGGAAGCGGAAAGGGAGGTATAGTGAAGACTAGGATCTAATTACCCCAGAGCTAAAATCAAGCTTACCCAGCAGTCGGGAATCAGCTGGCACAGATTTCTTTCAACTTTTTCAATGATTTACTTGTCAGATACAAGATCAATAAACATACGGAGAGACACACGGCAACATGAAAACCTAGTGCTACTGCTATTTACGACTATACTTTCTTCAGTTCTGGGCGACGTCAGACAACCACAAGAGAGACCGTCGGGACGAGACTGCACAGCTTGATGCACTGGACTCTACCCAGATTGCAAACCTCGACTGGAAGCATCCTGGATTTATTGTAGTTGGCGATTTCTTGCTAGGGTCAGCCATCGACAAATATCTAGCTATGTTGTTCCTAGGAGATATCAAAGATAGATTTTTCATCTCTAGCTTCCATCTTAGTATATCTCTTGGTTGTTGCAATCTATAGTTATTATTGCTGAAACATCCTTCAAGAGAACCCCAGAGGCTAAGGGAGGATTGATTACATCTGATAGCTAACCCAAACGACTAGGTAGCCTCCCTAAAGAATGCAATCCAACCCATCAAGTGACGGACAAACTCAGAGCCTAAACTTCTGGCTTCCTTCCCCAGATAAAGTAAAGCTGCTGGTACAAGTGGATTGTCGGATCCTTCAAGTCACGCTTGACTTTCGCAATAAAGACCTGGATCTCCTCCTCACTCCAACCCAGCACCCGACCGAAGAGCCCGGGAGTGTACGAGTCGATGACCTGGGCTTCCTGAACCGCCTGGAACTTGCCGATTTCCTTGAGTTTCGGATCCTTTGGCCACGGACCCATGGGAACCTATCGTTATCAGTGCATCTATCTTCATTGAGACTCAGGAGCGACTAACCTTGCGAATCTCTTGTTGAACGTCGACAAATCCGACCTCTTCTAGCCTTGCCTTCCACTCCGGTGCACAAGTCAAGGGTTTGCCAAATTTGGCAGAGGCGTCGCAGATGGTATTTACCCACTTATGAAAATCAGTAGCCTTATCTCCTGTGTCGTCGTCTGATTTGAGTGGTGGGTACGCAGCTTGTAGCTCGATGTATCCTCCAGGGCTCAGGTGTTTGAAAGCTTGCTGAAAGAGCCTCTTGTCGTTGGAAAGACATCCCTCGAGCTCGCGGCCATGAATAAAATCGAATGAATGGCGGTAAAGCCAATCTGCTTCGAAGTCATCAACTTCAAAAGAGCAATTTGGAGGAGTCCTATACTCGGCGTTAGTACCGTTTCTATCTCTAGGCTGGTTTCTCGGACCATTGGGGTTGAATAGGGCTCAGATCTGTGCCTCGAACATCTGCCGAGGGATATTCACTGGAAATGTCAGATTTAAGGGAAGTCCTTTAATAGCCAGGCCAGTTCTACTTACTCTGCAAAGTCCATAGCCCAAATGCCTGTTCCCGTACCAAGATCCAGAACCCGCTGAGGGCTATCGCCGATCGGTGCGAGATGGAGCTTTCCACCGATGAGAAGTCGATAAATGTGATGTGCTAGATCCATGCGATCTTGCTCTTCGTCATCATTAGGCTTACAATGTCAGCACCGGAAAGATTCTAGAGTTTGATGGCATTACCACTAGGTACGCCCCCTCGCGGAATGCATGATAACGGCGTCCATTCTACAGGTTCGTTAACGCCAAGACCTAGACGGGTTCCTGCGACTTGACTTGCTTCATATCTAGATTGCGTCAGTGAGACCGAAATGGAGGTAGAAGCAAATGGCAAAGCATTGACTCACCTGTAGTTGAAAACGCTAGACTTCGATGATGATAGGTAGCTACGAGTGGCCTCACTGGAATCAATAAGCAATGGTTTTCCAGCCTGCTATCCTGTACTCACGAGTCGCCGTAGCTCGAGTCTTCCTCGTGAGGAGCATCCTTCAGTAAGCATCAGTAACTGCACACAGCTTAACCTCTAGTCGTTCTCACGTCAACTTCGAGAGGATGATCAGGAGTCTGAGTCTCGGCCTGTGTAGCACGAGGCTGTGCTTCCTCGACGGGCTCTTGGGACTGATGGTCACCCATGATCGCTGATGACGGTGAGAGAAGCGCAGCTTGGGCGGGTTGCTTGAGGTTTTTATCAATTGCGCGGTCGAACCCCTCACTTCATCATCTCATCACACCATGAGGTTCCCGAAAGAGATGCTCGCATTAGAAACCTTGCCCGCTGACAAGGTATATGACAGAACAACCAGCCACATATGACCCGTGAGTTGAGCACGAGCCGTTGGTTGCACCCTTGTTAGTGCAACGCAACGGAAGACCAACCATCCCACCTGATCTGCATTTGGCAGCTTGATATTCCACCACTTGTTGGTCGAGGTCCAGTCTTGCGGCCGGCACCCTCGGAAACGTACGTGTGGGCCCGGGTAGCTTAGTTGAGCGATAGACTCTCCGCTGCTTGGGGGCAAAAAATCGAGGAACCTGATATCATTACCATTCCTCGAGCTGAGTTTGCACGAAGCCCACGCTCGGGGGTCTGCGCAAGCTGAGTTAACAGACCATGATGCTTCGCTGTCCAATCGATAATGCGGATTCAATTTGTGTGATACGCCTACGGAGTATAGGACTCAAGGGATTTAGGCTCGGCTCGCCCATGCTGAATATCGTAGAGATATCTGCTATCTATTAGCCTCTCAACGGTCCTTGTGGAATATGTAGTTGTTGGTATTGAGCTTGGCAGATGTCAAAGGGACGAAACACTTTTTTTGATATTTGGTGAGACGGTCCTGGTCTTCCAATGCTCATCCGATGCAAGTAGAGGGATGAGGTAGACACATCTTCACGGCCCCTATGTGATTATCCTTGGTGCCCTCCACGTCGATGGTGGTCTGGGGTACTCGTCTTTCAAGACGCTCGCCCAGCCTGCGAACTAAGTAAGCAAGCGGCGCAGCTTTGAGATCATCTTTTCTTTTTTGACATCTGTTCTTTCTTGTTGGATTCATAGTAAACACTAAGTAAACAAGACATCTTTGCCGTTAAAGCCTACAAGATAACCCGATATCGCTCGTGAATGTGAAAGCAGTAAGGTTCGAATTTATCGCTAGGTCTTGGAATTGATAAGCATGTGTGTGGAAAACAATCAAATCTAATAGTGGGTATCGCAAGGTGCTTCTATAGCAGATAGGTCACCATACTATATCTTTCAGAGGAGACACCAGCTTACCGGGCCGTCTCAGAGTTACCCGTCCTTAAGCACCGCTTTTTACCGCGTCTACTATACTATATATTACCCTAAATCCCTTAGATATAACTCATTAGTGAGACCGAGCATTATCACTAATCTAAATTCTAATGTATCGACTTAAACCATTGGGAACTTGGGACTTGAGGGTCGGTATTGATACTATTGCTTGCCTCTCTTCTGCAATGCCTGTCTAGCTATTCCGCTACTGTTGTCCATTAAAGGCAGGAGTATTTGATAACGCGGCTTCGACCGGGGTATCAATCCCCATACATTAACGTGATAGTACTGACCACGGTTGTCCACCAACCAACGCAGCTCAGGGGCCGGCAATTCCTTAGCTACCATGCTTTGCCGGTCTAGGTCTACCTTACCTCTTAGTAGCGCACTATCCTCTATAAGAAAATTACTAAGTAAAAAAAGACGGCCTTCCTCTATTTTTCTTCGCTATCTATAATAACACGACTTTTCCCTTCTATATATACCTAATACCCTAAGCCGGTAAACCATTCTTTACTTACTTTAGCGATATAAATACTAGGGCTAGAAATCTAGGGAAAGTACTAGAGTGCGTCCTAGTATTCAGCGCTACTAATAAAGTCAGCTACTAAGTAATTAAATTCCTCCAAAAATACTACCCTAATATTTACTTACGCCTTATATCATTAAATAAATCTAAGAGATACTAACTCGAAAAGTTCTAGCTATCGTTAAAAGTAGTTATCGCTGACTTTTTTAATAAGCCATCGCTCTATAAGGCTCTAGCGGATATTAAGTCTATTTTTATAGTTACGCCTAGATCTATCGATAAGTAGACGGCTATATCTAATTTAGTTAAGGCTCTAAAAGAGAGTAGAAAGATAATGAGTTGGGGGAAAGGCGTGCTAGGCCGTTTTGGGCCATTGGGCAATTTCCTGTACGTAGAAAAGGACCAAGGCTGCGGCCCTGACCATCTTCATCATTATCTTCCTCAAGGATCGGATCAAGAACGGGGAGCTTAAGGGCTCTTTTCTTGAGAAGATCTTCATTACTATCAATTGATTATTTGCCCTTATTATTTCATATGGTATTCAATTCACGAGAAAGTACGTGAAATCTCTTTTTCGAAAGTCATCAGAAGAAAGTCACACAAGAAGTTTTGGCTGTGGTTGGTGTGTTCTGTTTCTCCAACAAAATAATTATTTATATCCTTCATATAATCGCTATATTCCCTGAATTTAATACTTAATATATTCCCTAGTAGCTTATAGATTATTACCTTACTAACTTACCTACTTAATCGCCTATTACTAGAAAGATCCTTTAAGATAATCTTCTTTTAGTTATTTTTCTTAATATTAGAATTACCTTTATAGAGAACTCTTTCTAAATATAGAGATTACTTAAGGAAGAGTAGAAGTTAATTTAGCTAAGTATAGTAGTGCCCTATATATATATTATAGATATTAGAGAGATTACTATATAGCTATTATTATCGTCGGATAAGAGGCATATTAGGCTATTCTAAATTATTAATAATAGGAAGGATCTTCTCTAGGTTAAAGATACTACTAAGCTTATAACTTATATATAGAATATGCCTATTTCCATTAATATAACTAATAAATGGTTCTTTAAGCGGTCCTTTGCTATGCTAGAAGGGAAAAGGGGGTATTAGTAGCGATTTTTCTAGTTTAAAAAGGATAATAAACTTTACTAGGCATTAAATAATCGTGCTAAAAGACTACTCGGAAGGAAGCCAATTACTTTATAATAGTGGTTAATCGAGAGTTAGTCTGCTATCCTTAGCAAGGGACCAGTTAATAAGCTAGAGACTTAAGATTAGATATATCTAATATATATTCTAGTATTAAATATATTTTATAAAGTATAGTAATAAATAGAAAGATAACACTTGATCGCTGCCCCGGCATTGTGTGATGTCCAAGACAGCGGGATCAGGGGCCGGTCAAAGATAAAGAAGCGACGAGTGCTGTCACCTTAACAAACCGAGGGAGCAGTCATGATTCAATCCAGATGTACAGCAGTTAGTCAGTGTCTTCCTTAGATCCAAGATCTACGTTGGGCTTAGAAAGGTTAACATATAGCACCGCTCGCTATATATCATGGATAGACCTTAAGTCTATACTATAGCTCGAATAGATAACCGATGCCTCACGTAGTAACTGCCTTTTATCCTTCCTAGCTAATAATATCTCCTAAAGAAGCCCTCGATGGTATATATGCCACTTACCATAGAGAGGAGGCATAAACCCCGGGGTTTAGGGAGAAACCAAAAACCAACGTCGATAATATTCGAAATAACATAGCCGCTAAGATCTTAGAGTATTATACTAGTAATCCAGAGTGGAGTAATGTTAAGGAGAAATATCTTATATGAAAGATTGATAGGAATCTAATGCCCTTGATGTTCCTTACCTACGGGCTACAGTGTTACAATAAGTCTATATTATCTCAAGCGGTAGGTCTGAAAATAGGTTGATCTGACCGACAGGGGGTATCTAATCATAGGATAGGTGGTCACCGGGAAGGGCGCGTCCTTAGTGGAAGGTGAGTCACAATGTCCACCCAAATACCGGTTATCAAGTTATGTAGCAGCCTAGAGCAATTTCTTCACCACTCGCGGCTTGATTCAAGGCCGAGTACTACATGTCGGGACCCCGAGTGCTACCCTATGTAGTCCACGGTGATGAAGCCGTCCTTGAAGCAAGGCGGCCGCTCTCGAGGATGCTATTGTATAGGCATTGAAACTGCATCTTAACATAGAGCGACATTCGGAACGCGACATAGTAATCTGCCTAAGTTACGGGGACATTATGGCATTGATATACAGGTCACTTTATTTTCGACAGAGTACTGTCCGACCCAAGCCCGTTGCCCCCACCCCACCCTCTGTCAAGGCTGGCGATGTCCTTGGTATGACGAAACAATTGGCAATTCTCCAGTCACAACACTCAAGGGTCTATAATGTTAAATAGCATATAACACTCATCTGGCGTGGCGAATATCCTTCAGAGCAACTTTCCAGTGAGGGCACTTCTCTCTTTGGCTGATATTTGGTGGCGCGGTAGAAGCGTTCCCACCTTTTAACATTACAGACCCTTGAGGGTTGTGATTCCAAACACAAGCCTGAGGTTCAAAAGGGGCGATATTACTGCGTCATTTTCTTTGTTCTACTTGAACGAATAACATTTGATAAATGAAAACTTGCCATATACACTCCCCTTCTACTTCTCACTTGGCTCATCTGGAGCAAGTCGGTCGCGATACCAACCATGACCATTCATACCATCACCGACGTCCCCATCTTCAACGGCCGAAAAGTTGACACTGCGGCTAATGTCACCTTCCGTGCCAGCCCTGGAGACATTGTCAGTATCGAGGCGGGAGCCACGGATCTCGCCAGCGTCGACACTGTGATTGATGGGAGAGGCTGCACGCTCCTCCCAGCCTTCATTGACGCCAATGTTGACACTGCAGCGACGAACATGGACCTCCCCATATTTGCCTCTTACGGCATCGGCACAGTTATCGACATGAGCAGCACCAAGGCCGAGATCCAGGCCATGCGGGCAGAGTCTCATGCCGAGGTCGGACTCCCTACCTACCTGGCATCGGGCCCCATCGCCACTGCGCAGGCCACGGATGGAGCTCAGATTCATCCGCGCCGAGAAACCAAAGTTATCCGGGTCCCCGCAGATGCCGAAACATGGGTTGCCTCTGTCATGAACGGTCCGGACAGGTCTGACTACATCAAGGTGCTCGTCGATCTACCTGGCATAGACGGCCCAACACTCCTCGCTCTTGTTCATGCGGCACATGCCCATAACAAGTTGGCCGTCGCACACTCGTTTCAAAAGGTTGGATACTCCCGGGCTCTTCAGGCGGGATTTGATATCATCACTCTCGTGCCTATAGACGGCCTCATAGAAACAGAGATAGCCGAGGGCCTCGCCGCGCGCAACATAGCGTGCATCCCCACGCTTTGCATGGCACGGGCCATGGTTCCCTTGCTGCGCAGCGAGCCAAGGGACGATTTGGTGGACGTCAGCTTCGACTACGCGCTCGCCAACGTCAAGAAGATGTATGACGCTGGGGTGCGCATCTGTGCCGGAACGGAGGCGAACCAGATATCCCATGTGCCGATATCAATCGGGGAGAGCCTCCACGAGGAGATGGAGCTGCTTGTACACGCAGGGCTGTCGAACCTCGACGCCCTCAGGGCAGCTACGGTTGTTACAACCATGGTGTTTGGGCTGAGAGACCGGGGCGAGATCTCGCTCGGGCAGAGAGCAGACATGGTCTTGATCGAAGGGGATCCACTGCAAGACATCACGACTACGAGGAGGATCCGAAAGGTATGGATTGGTGGAGTTGAGATGGACGGATGGGATGCACCTACATCAACAGATCTTTAGCCGCAGCAGCGTACGTATTTGAAGAAGCCATGAAAATTCTTTTGAATTGTTTTATTTTGAGCCTCGAGACCATTCTTCGGTGACTGTGATGTCTTGGCTGTCCCACGAGGCGTACTGTACCCTATCATAGCTCCGCGGAGTCAGCTCCGTAATCCAATCTTTATCAACCCGGACAAATACCCCTCGATGAGGCTCGTCGCCCTGACGCCACTATGAGCTAATCATGGTTACGTCACACCGAACATGGCAGCTCAAACTTCAACGTTGCACGTCAAATCAAGCTATACATGACACTAATCGCTGCTCGCTGAATACGGTAATATTCTATCAGCTTTGTTATTCTTCCCTCCCTGCCTCAGAGGACATTCGAAATGCGGAAGCTCCTCCCAAAGTCTCCAGACCAGAACCCGCCGCCGGCAACGCCGGGCCTCAGGAAGCGCAAGCGTCCAATGGTTTCCATGGCGTGCGAATGTTAGTCCCTAAAATACCTCTAGTCCAGGTTTTCCTTGCTGATGACGCTATCCAGCCTGCCGGAAGCGCAAGATCAAGGTCCAACTTCCCCAAGCTCGCCGCCCAAGAGCAGAGCAACTAACTGCATCAGTGCGATAATCAACGCCCAGCCTGTTCACAATGTGTTCGCTCCTTGAGGGAATGCCGCTTCGCCATCGACGAGACCAAAGCCAATAACGAGACGCTGAACCACCAGCTTCGAGCCGCTTCCCTAGCCGAAAGCTCCCTAAAGACGATTCTCGACCAGCTGCGCAGTGGCTCGCAAGACAACTCCGTCGAGCTCCTGCATCGTATTCGACAGGAGCAGTCAGTTAATGGCCTTGTCAAGACATTCTCTGATGCTAGCCTGCTGCTACCTCCTGCTCCACCACCATCTGGTCAGTTCCGATGACCCTTGCCTCGGGTCGAATCCTGCTTTTCCAAGTTTGGATAACTAATTATGGTGAATCATATGAGATCCTCACAACTCACCTACTTTGCCTTTCAAGATTCCCATCCCCTTGAGCATCGAAACCGTTTCATCGTAAGTACTCTTGCCGTCTCTCTTTCTTCCCATCGTCAAGATTAACGGGTACACTAGAAACCCTTGGACAAGCAGCGACGGGCTCGAAGCAAAGCATGTCTTGCCTGTCTCCCAGTGGACTACTCTGTCTACTGATGACAGCTACCTAACACATCTGCTAAACCTTTTCTTTGCCTGGGACCATACACTTAGCCACGCCATCCCCCGATCCGGGTTTCTCCCATGTCTCTACGCCGGGCCGAAAGTAGGAGGAAAGTTTTGTTCCAAATTCCTCGTCAATTCTATCCTTGCCACTTCTCATGTACGTTTAATCTCACAGGAGTTGGGGTAGTGATGGTTCGTTTTTGCTAATTGTGTAGCTTTTCATGTCTCAAGGAGAATCATCACACAAGTGCGAGGAGTTGCGCTCCAGTGGTGCCATGTTCGCTGACGAGGCCCGACGAATGCTTGAAGGCGAGAGAAAGCGTCCGTCAGTGTCCCTGCTCCAGGGCCTACTGGTTCTCTGGATTTATGAAATCAACTATGGAGTAAAAGCTGAGGCCCAAGTTTTGCTTGAACAGTTTTATTCCATTCATGAGGCTTTGGGACTCAGCGATCTAGCCATGCCAGCCGCGAGTCATGCAATCTCCAACGATAGCTCAACTTTGCGATCCATGGAGGAGGGGCAAGTTCTATCTTGCATCGTCTGGGGGGTTTTCTGCTTGGAGGGGTAAGTGCCAAGTGTCTCAGATATCTTCCATGAAACACGCCAGTTGCTAACAGGCTAATCTAACCAGTAAACTCTCCTTGACCTCCTCGCGTCCGATGAGAATCGCCAAGCCCAAGATGGCCAAAGCTTTCGAGAATGCCTATACATCTATATTCGCCAAGCCCAGCGCGCCCGAGTATTTCTGGTCCCCCTATCCTCGCCAGTCTGCACCGCGGCAATCATTTTTTCGAGAAATCATCTTACTCGAGTGCCAACTTGCCGAGATGATACATGAGTTTTCCGAGATATTCGCGCCGACATACTCTGGACCACCGGCTTCAAGCTACAATGAGACGAGGGCGTTCTACGACAGGCTTCTGAGATGGGGTACACATGCTTCACAACGATTCCATACCAATGGAATCTTTCCCCCTTCGTTTCTTTTCCTTGAGTAAGTTCCAACCCTACGATCAGTGACTGGTTTGCTAGCATTACTAACACAATAACGAGGACTACGTATGATATGATGCTTTTGAAAGTCTTGGACCACCTCTCTCGTTTCCCTCTCCATAATGACACCCACAAGTCGATACTGTCCAAGCGAGCGTCGCACGGAGCCTCGATCATCTCCAACCTTTGGGTATACCGGGCCACCTTTGGGCTTCGCCACGAGTTCTGGCTCACGCAGGCGTGTTTGGCAGCAACCACAGCCGTCATCTTCAACCTTAGCGATACTCCAAGCTTGTCCAAGTCAGTGGTAATAGCCTGCCAGCTGCTCTATGGGATAGGAGAGTTTCTACCTGTGGCAAATCAATGTCTCCTAGTGATTAAGGCGCTTTCCAGTCCCCAGGATGCAGCGTTTCCAACTTCCTATAGGATGATTTACTCTAAATTAGCCATAAGGATGGGACGGATTATTATTAAAAGTGTCTCACTGCTGGACATTGAGCCCGGCGAGGGTAATCCGGTTGTTAGACAATCCGGAGGTTCTTCCCACGATGTTGCGTTTTCTACTCAGATTAAAGGTATTTCTAACTTTACTAAAAGAAGTTCTTAGTTAGATACTATATTAAAAGTGAATATTTTATAATACTTTTACTTATCTATAGACTCTTTATATTAATCTAGCCTGTTTTACTTAAATTAGCTTTAAAAGAAATTATTTCGTATATTAGTTATGTATTTTTAATAATAAGATTTAAAAAGAATATTAATTATTATTTTTAATACTAAGTATAAAAGGAAATTATTAAGAGCTTAATAGCTATAATAATATAATATAAAAATTTCATAAAAGATTATTAAATAATATAATATATAAAGTAATTTATATATTTTTATTACTTATTAATAATTTAACGTATTTTTATAAAAGGTCTTTAATTATCTTTAAAAGTATATAAGGCTTGTAACTAATATTTCTTTAAGTATAATTACTATTATTATATAGTTTTTAATATAAAAATTTAATATTAGGTCTTTTTTAAATTAGCTATTAAAAATTACAACTCTTTAAATATATTTAAATTATTTTTTAATATGCTAAGGTAATTAAAATTGAGATAAAAGAAATGCCTAATACTAGTATTATACAAGGTATAGAGATTAAGAATATTAAAAGATAGAAATACTTCTACCTCGCTATGAGGAGCTTTTATTATATATCGTGGCCTTTGTTAGACTATGACGAGGATTATCCCTCTAGGCGCTAATTACTATATTATCTCTCGCTCGCTACACCTTATGGCTCATGCATACCAAATAACATCATTGATCCTTACACCCTGTACTAATCCCGGCCTCTCTTACAGATGATATAACACTCTCGGCTCCATATCTTAATCATGACTTTCTCCATTCATTCTCCCAATATGTGCTGGATAGCATCCATCCACCAGCTCAGCACATATCTACCATATCGAGGCAAGGATTTCACAGCTCTACGGCGACTGTGGAAATATTTTCCCACCCCACAGCTTATCCGTTGTCATTGTCCGACCCTTGGACGTAATGACTTGTCTGGATTCTCGGGCGAAGGGTGCCTCTGGGGAATCTATCAGATTGACGTTGGCAATCTCCTCTTTATATTCAATTTCGCATGACAAAGTTGGACCTTACCCTTGGCCGGCCCTGGTGCTCGTCTGTGCCCGTCATCACAAGAATTGCTCGACGTCGCCCTTCTTCATACCTAGCGCTCAATGTCTTCCCGCGGTATGTTAAGTCCTCATCCTTGATGAGGACGGTGGGCATAGAGCAGAACCACATGTCCGGTGTTCGCGATGTGTTGGTGATAGTATCGCCCTGCGTTTGGTGATGCGTTCCGAACGGCCCTAGAGGGAAGCTGGCGCATCTGTTTAAATATATGGTCAAAGGATGGAGGACATCCGTGTCGTCATGGATAAGTCTATGAGACAACACATAGCACATAAAACACACACACCAATATGAGCTTCCCCTAGCAGCCTAGTCACATCAGGATCCATCGCTCGTCGTGTGGTCATGCAGGAACCCTTTGATCTTGCCCCCCACATCGAACTGGCCTCGACAGTTGCATACCAATAAGGCGTGACGGAGTCGCTCCGTAAGCACAAGGTTAGGGTTTGTCGCCGATCAGGTGGTGCCCGCCTCATGGTTTGAGCCATCTCATCGAGGCGCTTCCGAGTGGCGGGGTTCCCCAATAGCGTCCTTGGCATCTTATAATAGCTCAGCGATCACTAAAGCATGGGCTTTTATCACGGATGTGGCTCGGTCACTCGGAATCCGACCTTGGATAATAGCTACGTAACGTTGAGCCGCTTCTGAACATAAAAGAAAAAGGGGGAATTCACGTGTACATTTATAAATCCCATCCCATAAATAAAACGTAGTAATGGCATTATCGGGTTGCAAATCTCGATCCGTCTTGTCTTTGGAGGGTTATATTCGGTTTGGCAATCCTACTCTGTGAGAATGCGCAGGGGATGATGTCTATATCGTTCACAATCACAATTCGTAAAGAGTTTGGCTGCGCCCCTCATGCCCATATAACAAGGTAGATCTGCATAGAGCTCGCCAGGGCCAAATAGTAATGGTTGAGACATAACATGCAATGATCTAGATGCCGAATACCACCCTCACTGGGAGGGATATCTCGCGTGACATATCGGCAACGGTACTGGGGCATGTAAATAAGCTCCCCTATTGAATACGATAAGCTGGCCAGTGGAAAATAACTCGAATATTGACTGCAACTAAAACGAGGACGGCTCCGATGGAATATGGCGCCGATATGGATGATTAGAATTGGGGTCCTCAGAGCTGCCAGTCCAAGAAGGCGAACCCTCAGCCCGTTTTGATTGCCACCCAAAGTATCCCTTCTCCGTGCGGTAATCCTTCAGCAGGTAACTGCTCTATTATTAGACCAATATCACAGACATATACTAACACCCATCGCGGGATGGCTTGTCTGTTAAGATCTGATGCTAAGTAGACTTGCCCCCGTGGCGAAAAAGTGTGCGTAGTGAGGTGCATGCTGGTTTTGCGACTGGAGGCTTACTGGAACCGAAGGGGTCTGTCCCCGCGCCCTCCCTCTTCACCCAAGACCGCCGATTCTCCGTTGTTTCACCTTGAAAGCCTATTAAGTATTTATTTGGTTCAAACCGCCCTCACCCGGTCCCGCCAAGTCCTGTCGAGTTTCAGACAACTGACAGAGGAAGCAAGTGGCCTCTTGATTTGCCGTTACACCTCGGTGTTATTCCCACGACCGAGATGGCATTTTCTACATCTCCCAGTATCTGCTCAGCCGGCCTCCATGAATTCTCCGATCAAATGCGAGGAGTGGATAGCTATAACCACGCTATTCCGGGACTTGCAGCAGCGAGATTTTGAATCGCCTGAATGGACTATCCTGCTATGATGCTCTCCAGATAGGATATTGATTCCTGGGAATAGCGCCCATGATGAAAATGATGGGGCGGTAATACGGCTTGTTTTTAAAGAATTGACACCTGGCATTGTTGGTGGAACCACAATGCGTTGTATATTAACGTGCAACGTATTTATCCCTTGTGTTGCGAGGAACCTCCCGGCCGTACCGAGCCCCATGTCCCGGAACCTTACGACGTGCCATTAGTTGATTCCACCGACATTCTCATAGAAATTCTATCGGATTGATTAGTGACTTCCCAGTCTGCACCTATAGAGATATCGTAGGAGGCTCTCAACGCGTATGTTGATAGCAGCTTTGTCAATGAAGATAATAGCCGTCAAGAGCATGAGGGTGATGGCACCCGGGGACCGGCTTTTCCGCCTGCCAAAGACCGAGGCTACGATTTTTAACCCGACGAGAGCTTCTCATCAAGGAGCTGCCCCAGGACCCGTTATCCGTCAATCAATTTGAGGATGTGAGTAGTGCGATGTAAAATCTGTTCTCTCTTGTAGTTGCAGCCCAGCCCTCGATGGGTTAACTAAGCCCGAAGATCGTAACTCGAGAGATGGCTGGTACTTCTATCATCGGCCAAAATAGGAGCGGGATTAGGTACCATTGATCCGGTGCATTTAATTCGCCGCACCCCCCTGCCGTGACTCGGCGGGAGGTTGTCCACAACCCAAGGGATACAATGGCACCAACAGCGATAATGACGTGACCGGTGACAAGCCCACATGTTCCAGTCTTGCTTCTAGCAACATTGCAACCTTTGAGGGGCGCAGAGGTTGTCTGCCTTGTTTATTTGCCTAGGATTAGGCCACTTGTTTGCTGTACGGGTGACTTGGGTGGCGGAAAGTACATACGCGAGCTCGATGCTGCACCTAATCTTCGATGGAGACTCGGCGGCGTTTCTGCCAACCCTGCTTTTTGGCGCCTCGATATATATTATGAGTAAGACGCCAGTGAGTGCTTGATCTAGCACTCGATTCCATAATTCTTTTGGCTATTACGACTCTGACAGACCATGATTGGTAAGCAACAATTTTATTCCTTCTCGCAGCATTGAAGCCCTAGATTCCACTGCGTTTCCATCACTTGAAACTCGCGCCCGAGCCGCATATGCCATCGCTAGCTAACATGTTCCGCGCACGCAGCCTACCCAGCCTTTCGAAAGCAGGTCCGTCGCACTTGGTCAGGTAGAAACGCCGGCCAAAGGGTCAACCGCACTCACAGAGACGATGAAGGAGCCAACCTTGGGCTTTACCACGAGCGATCGCCTTTGCTTAGCTTAACACCCGTGAATGAGGAGCACCATGGATTGATATGGCGCTTGTTTGACGGCAGAAGCACCCCGGGAAGAGACAGCCCTAATCGTCTGGTCAAATGGCCAGCAAATGTTTTCCATGTCACCAAGGTTACGCTGATGAGCAGTAAGCATGTCTCCGCTGGTTGATTGAACTACGACTAAATTAACATTACAGACTACGTCAACCTCCTGCTCCCATTGGTGCCACTAGGTATCATTGCCGGCGTGCTTGGTTGGAGCCCTGCGGCTGTGTTCTCGCTCAACTTTATCGCCATTATTCCCCTGGCAGGGGTGTTATCCTTCGCTACGGAAGAGATTTCCATCCCGCTGGGCGAGACATTAGGAGGGCTGCTGAATGCCACTTTTGGCAACGCAGTTGAGCTCATCGTGAGTATCGTCGCCCTGAAGAAGAACGAAATCGAAGTCGTGCAGTCGTCAATGCTTGGTTCTATTCTATCTAATCTTCTTCTTGTCATGGGGAGCAGCTTTCTCCTCGGCGGCCTTGTCAACATGAAGGATGATTCAGGCAAGGGCACCGAGCAGAACTTCACCAGTGCGATGGCACAAACAACATGCTCCTTGTTAGCGCTATCAGCCGCCTCAATGATCATTCCCGCTACTGTGAGCAGCCACCCAGAGCCCAGTCCACAAAAGATTGTGCTCCAATAAGCATCAGGAGAAAGACTAACCTCGATATGCAGCTCTACAACATCCTCAACAGCTCGGATCAGCACGGTGAAGCCGAAACCATCCTTTGGCACTCGCGCGGGACGGCCATCATCCTTCTTATCCTATACGCCCTGTATCTGTGCTTCCAATTGCGGACGCACAAGAATCTATTCTGCGAAGGGACTGGTGAAACGTCCTCCGTTGATGAGGTAGAGGATGAGCCCGAATCAGTCATGAGTCCTTGGTCTGCTGCAGCGGTGCTGATTGCCGTGACCGTTGTTATCTCCTTCTGTGCAGACTACCTGGTCGGCAGTATCGACAGCATTGCCAAAGACGCGCACACTAGCAAGAGCTTTATTGGCTTGATCCTGATCCCCATTGTCGGCAACGCGGCGGAGCACGCCACGGCGTGTGTGATGGCCGTAAGAAACAAAATGGACTTGGTGAGTGATAGCCTGCTTCTTTACGTTGTTGTCTTATTGTGAACTGACAAGTTACGTGAAACAAGGCCACCGGTGTTGCAATCGGATCCAGCATCCAGATTGCGCTGCTGGTTACGCCGTTGCTGGTTGTTTTGGGCTGGGCACTGAATGTGCCGATGAGTTTGAACTTCAATATGCGTGAGTTATTATGAGGACGTAAGCGACTTTCAACACGTTTGCTGATGCTTGGTGCAGTTGAGACAATTATCTTCGCTGTATCTGTTTTAGTCGTGACGGGGACAGTGCAGGATGGGAAATCTAACTATCTGGAGGGAGCCATGGTGAGTTTATATTTCCCAGCCCTTCTATACCTACAGCGCATTAATCAGACTGCAGCTTGTGGGACTCTACATTATCATCGCTTTGACATTCTGGGCAATCCCTAATGGAGTTTTGGGAAAAGCAATGGGTTGATTGCCGGGTTGCCATGTACTGGAGGTTTGAAAGCTACGCGACCTAGGAAGTGAACTCAGTATCGGGCTTGGAACTTTTGAATAACCATGGTGTTTTCATTAATAGCCTTCTTTTATAAAAATGAAATAGTTTTGCAATTTGGGTAACGTTACCGGGCTGCCAGTATGAATGGTGGCGTAGCCAAGCCTTGAGCATTCACTCGTTGGATCACCGTTGCCCACTCACGGTTGCCAGGCTGGGCCAATTTGGCCTTGTTGCGGCCGCCCGAAGTAGTGACGACCATACATGCAAATATCATGCCCATCGTAAACCCGGTCTCGTCGAAGTTGTAGGTATCCTCGTCCGGCATGCCGTACTTGGCTTTGACATTTTGTAGGAGTGTAAACTGATCGTCAATCACTTTGGCATCTTCACATTTAGCTCGCTGGTAGTAGTATTTGCGAAAAAACCGAGTACGGAGCTCTGGCCGGCGCCTGACGAAGCTGGGAGCCCAGTTCTTGCCAACGCCCGACGCGTCGCGAACACGGAGTAGTTATTTGGCCACATCTCCCACATAACGTGGTCTGGGCGGGAAAAAATCGCTCACATAGCTCCAGTATGTGCAGTACAATAGCACCTTCTTGTAATTCGTTTAGCTTACGCGAGTTGGGCAAAGTATCGCGGCATGCAGGTCTGCCATCACATCGGCGGGCCAGGGTTGTCCGGGGGACGTTGTGAACTTTCGCAGCCGCTCGAATGGTCGAACATTTATTAGTTTTCAAAGCCTTGAGGGTTAATTTAATGAGTCGGGTGGTTTTCTTACACTAGTATCCCTCTTGCAGCTTGTTCGCGTCTCGTACGATGTGTGGGTGAGTGGTCAACTTGAGCGATTTTCGCGGCTCTGAAGTGCCATTAGACCATGACCTCGCCCAGACCGACTCTGCAAACTCATCGCAGCTATTGACACGGAAAACCACGAGAAGGTCGGCTGCTTTGGTCCTACTGCTCTTTCAAGCAGCATCCATCGTGCTCACTAGAGGATCTGCCGAGTTCCTCAGTCAGGTTCAGTCGAACCCCGCTCAGGAATCGGCCCATACTTCGATGACGAACTTTCTACGTCACCCTCTCCTTTTTGCAAGGGTTCAATATCGTTCTTTATTGGGCGATTGGCATCCAAGCTGACTAATAACCCTGGCTGGGCGATGATGATATGAGCAGGTTGAATATTCAATGAAACAGCCAATTTCTTCCTCGGCTTAAACAACAAAACTCCCTCCCCCATTCGCATCCGATCCCTAGCAATGTCCAAAAGATACCGCCAGCTGCTCCCTGGCCCCAGTTCAGACAGTACTCCTCCTTCTAGGTCACACCCATCTGGTTCATCTTCCACGAGCGATGAGCCACTCAAACGACAACGGATTGGAACCCAACTCGCGTGCAACGCGTGCCGCCGTAGAAAAAGTCGTGTAAGTGGCTTCTCTTTAGGTCACCCGCATTGCTTCCCTAACTTTGGGCACCTAGTGTGACGGACAGCGGCCTAGTTGCGCGGCTTGTCGACGACGAGGTGAGGAAGAGCCATGCATCTATGCTGAAAGCCGCGGTCAAGGCCTACCGAGTAAAGAAACCGAGCAAATCCTTGAACTGTTTCACTTCTTGAGATCTGAACCCGAGGAACAAGCCCTCGATAGCCTGAGAATTATTCGATCCCACAGCGATATTGAGACGGTTTTGTCCATAGTCCAAGCGGGCAGGAGTCATGAACGCGGACAAGGATGGCCTCCTACATCCACAAGCCATCTAGGACTGGAGTATGAGCTCATTGCAAGGAACCCGGTAGCCTTCCCGCCCCTGCAGCCCCTAGAGTCTAGTATCATCAAGTCAGTCATGCACTGAGACATCTTCCCGAGATTGGTATCATGTCTACATGCCACCACAGGCCGTCTTGACTCCAGGCTTACACATTATAGGGCAGTGCTCAGCACCGGCCTTCTATCAGTCACCAACAGGGAGGTGAATGAAGAACCGTTTGGAGCTGGCGCCAGCACGCCGTCCGATCCCGAAGCCAGCCCATTCTCTGCGCACCATTTTACAAATACAAGAAGTCCGATATCCACTTTACATCGTTGTGATGAGCGACTTGAGGGACTGGACATGAAATTCTGGTCTTCGGTCCCGATTTCGGACGACATCGCTGCCAAAATCATTTCGTTATACCTGGAGACGGACCATCCGTTGTTGGGGACCTTTGACCCCGATCTATTCGTCGATGATCTGGTCAATTGCCGCTTGAGGTACTGCAGCCCATTGCTCGTCAGTGCTTTAATGTACAGGGGCTGCGTAGGTGTTGACGGCATACAAAGGGTGAACCACGTTCTCGCTGACACGCCGTAGCAAATGTGTACCGGTAGTGCCTCCGACCCCGCGGTCAAAGATTACCTACCTCAGTTCCGCGAGGAGGCAGAGAAGCGCCGGGCAGATGAGAAGGATGCTGATACTCTTCTCAACCTGGCCGGGACACAGTTGATGGGATTGGCATACTTGGGTGATGGCGAAGATCACTATGCCTTGATATACGCGTCGGAAGCGAACGCCATGGCAACACGCATGGGCTTATTCGGAGTCGATCCTACAGTGGCGGCGGGAAAAGCTCGAGAAATATCCCCCGACCTTCAAAACGCAACTTCATATGCTGCCTGGGGCACTTTCAATTGGATAGTGTAAGTCGGCAACCCAGAGTGGACGTTGGGCGATCAGAGCGCTTATGCCTTCAGGCTTATGTCAATATTCTATCAGCAGCCCGGCCTCTCATACCCAGAAAATCCTCCCGTACTTCCAATACCCAGGAATGCGTGGCATCAGGGCCGCGATGATAGTGGCAAGTCAGTTCCAGAGTCTCTGAAGTCCGAGTATATGGGCGATACCTTTCCGGTCCTTTGCCGGTTTTGGCGAATTATTCACGAAGTCACTTTGCGATACTACCGCGATCAACCCCATCCACGGGCACGCTTGAGCGATCACGTCAGTCTTGCCTTTGCAGAGTACAAGTATCGTGAGCTGATCGCTTGGGCGGAGACTCTGCCGCCATCCATGATGCGCTCAGAACAGAGTCCGCATCATGTTCTCACCTTTCAGTGCGTCACATTGCTTTGCCCCGTTGCGGATCAAGTTTCCGAACCGACATTCTAACCTGACTCCCAGCATTTGGTTCCATGCGGCCATTCTGGATATTTTGCGCCCATTCACAGTACGTGGGAGGTCCGCCACGAAACCCTTGCGACTCAAAACCTTTTCCTGCAAGAAAAGCTCCCCTGATGCCGCTTATAAAGCGTCCGTCAACCAGCTTAAGCGGCTGATAGTCGTGTACCGCAAGAACTACGCATCTTCGACTTACACCATGCTATGGCACACGGCACTCATACATGTTGCAAACGCCTTACTTGACGACACGAAAGACTCGGCATGGCGCTTCTACCTCCTTTTCTGCATTCAGTGCTATGGGAGCTTACGGCACTCATACCGCTTCGCAGAGACTATCGGCCGCAGCTTGCTTTCCATGGCACTGCAGAAAGGAGATTTATCGGCGAGCGACGCGCGAAAGCTGATGCAGCAATTTGAGGAGAGCTGGTTAATCAACCCGTCGGAGGATATTCGAGCTACGTTCATGGCTGACCTAAACCTTGCCATGACGGATCCTGGCGAGGCAAGCGTTGAGAGCCTTGCACAAAGGTTTGAGGATATAGCGTTGTTCCGAGAGTTTACGAGTCAAGAGGACTCAGGCGAGGACGAGCCTATGGATTCAGACGATAATGCAGCCTGGGAATCGCTGTGATATACCCGTTGGTCCATGAGGAGCAAGCTCCTAGGTGGACGACCAAAGCAAGCTTGGTTGGCCATAAGACCTGGGAACGAACACAAAAAGCTGGAACATGGGCGAGGCCCGATTTTGGCTGTGTTTTTGGGCCTTTCATGGAATAGTTAGGCTTTTCGATACCCGTTGAGATGACATGCATGGCAGCTATCATCTGGCTAAGGATGCCGTCACCAAAACAACCCTTCAGCTTCTATTTCAGAAGCAATTGATCAACTGAATAGGTAAAGGCGCACAGAAAATGGCCCACCAGCTGGCCCTTCTGAAAGTCCAGGTTGGAGAACCTTCAAGAGGCCAATTCGACACTTAGCAAACGCCGAAGAGCTAGCAAAACACATCTGAGACGAGGAAGAAGAATGATTATGGTGAGGGTAAGGTCTACAAAAGCAGAAATATATCAATGAGCAGGTACAGCAAAAAACAGGGCAGCAGAGTGGTCGGAAGAGGCGAGCAGAAACGAAAGAACAGAACAGAAGACCTCTAAAGAAGAGGAATGTGAGCAATATGAATTGATCAACTGCGTTGTTAATATTGTATTGAGAAATAAAGACATCCTAGGTTTAGGATAGTTGCCCACTGGCTTCTCAACCACGTTCAGCGAAGCTTTGAGGCTGATTTTCCCTGCAATGTAATGTCTGCTTGGGTCCACACACTGAATTTCACCAAGTCCCGCGGGATATTAATCTTCTATTGATATTCATCCTGTAACAACCTTGGACCTCCATCTTATTGATTCTATACAAGCACCCGAGATTGCATAGCAGTGTCCTGGGGCATCCATAGACAGCATGTACCTGCTAGGGGGGTTGCTATTGACGTAGTTCAAACCTGGACCCTTTATTCACGCCAAATCCAGCCAGCTATTCCTCAACACAGAACCTCCTCACAATATCCACTAACCTCATTCTCGTCCTCCTCCCTTTAAATACCTGACCATGATCTAAATCATGAAACCACAGCACATCTAGCCCATCGCCTTTCCAAACTCCATCTTTCCAGCTTGTAGTCTCCAAATTCCAATCATCTGAGCCTGTCAGATACGCCCCAATTACTTTCGTGTCGATGATCGCGTCTCTACCACCTAGAACCACAGTCACGCGATGACCCTGGATATCTTCCTTCCACAAGATATTATCAGTCCAGAAGAAGCGTCGGAATAGCGTATGCGAGATTCCCATATCCTTTGAGCCGAAGTAGGAGAGCAGATGTTCATTAGCATGGCACGGCTTCCGATAAACCTGAAGTTGTTAAGGAGATTAGTTGAGATCGTGGTGAAAAGGTAGGGAAGACGTCACAAAATTATATGCCACGTCAGGGAGATGTAGCAAGAAAGACACCGGATCCACAAACAAAATCGGCCCAATCTTCCGTGCGATCTGTGGGGTGTGGAGGAGATGTGTGGCAACCACGCTTCCGAAGCTTCACATATTCGAAGTTAATATATGACAATGGCCGACACACAAATAGAGAGAAAGCAAGAGGGGACACCCACGAATGTGACACCAGGACAAACCTTTCCCACCCATGCGCTTTCAATATGCAATCGAGTTCCTCGCACGGTGGAAGTCGAAGGAGTAGTAGCGCAGGCAGATAGACGTTGTCGTATCGACAATAAACACACACTATAGAACAACGTAAAGTTAGTAACCTGACTTGTGCTATAGGATGATAAGTCCATGCATATCTCATTATAGAAACTCACCAGATACCATGTCAGGCTCCGATGTAACATCTCGACCTTGTCGAGCGTCAGTCTGAGGCACCTCGCGTTGCCACGCCCAGGTTCCAACTTCTTCCCTAGCAACTTTTCCATCTCTCCAGTGTAGTACTCTAGCTCCTCGTCGTATGCCGGGTCAGGCTCCGCGGTGTTCAAGAACGCCCACCGGTAAAAATCCTTGACGTTCTCCCGCTTAATCTCCGCTGCCGGCGCATCCCGGAACCACTTTGTCAAGAAACGGTCCGGATCTGGAATATTGCCGTGGCAGCGCCAGAATAACCTCTGTCGATCATTTCGAGAGGCGATTGTGGGATGTGTCGCCGCCCTCTGGAGGTAGGCTTTACGCGGAAGGTAGACGAGAAGGTAGAATGCTGCCTCAAGAGCTAGCCAAATCTTCAGTATGCGGGGGGCATGGAGCGGGATATGGACGAGCCAGCCGACAAGCGAATAGGCAACGCTAAGGGGTGCAATCAGGTGTAGGAGGAATATGCATGTCCGGATGAAAACATAGTCCCAGACTGAGGTTTCTACCATAGCGAAGAAGACAGTGCTATCGGCAGCGGAGCTTGAGAAGGCGCGGTTTATGACTCGGCGAGAGGTATTGCTGAAAAGGAGAAAGAAGATGTGCTTTCCCATATGTTAGCCGTAGCACGATGCTGTTATATCAGCAACATCTCAATTCAGTCAAGTTTTGACCTTAATACGGGTATTTCTGTTGAACACGGTAGATCGATTCTGTTGGGGATTCACGTCATGCCACTGCCGTTCGGTTCTGATACTCGACATGTGAAGAACATGTGAAGTAACATTGGCAGGGATGGTGGTAAGCCAGCTGATAAGAGAAGTGGGGATTGGGGGGTCAACTCACCAAACGCAACCAACCGAGCCGCCACATTACCTTACCAAGCGGTCATTCTGTCGACATCGTTTGAGCTTCTTTGGATCTTGATTAGCCGTCATGATTTCCGGTATACTAAGAGGGGTTGCCCCTGCAGCTTCGGTAACGTCGGAGTCGGACGAGTGGGGGCGGCGTTCGCGGCAAAGCCGGGCATAGACGACCGACCCAGTTGCAGTGGGCATCTGGCCCCCTTAGTTGTACTATCCGCACCCAGAAGTCGGCAGACATCAGTCAGTACAGCATGTTGAAGTAATCCTGTGACAAATTCTCCCCCCAAGAAACCAGTCCTTGTTGGAATCCAAATGCAACTGGAGGTTAACAGCGGCAATGATGCCATGGGTTAGACGGTATTCTGAAAATGCGTGTGAATAGTGAATGATCTAGGTACAATCTTAAACTACAGTCGTTCTCTACATATGTCCAACCTATCCCAGTCCGCCTGCGTAAACGAAATATATGCCCTACTCTTTTTCGGCAGCCACAGAAAGCCATCTTAATCGCCTCCCCGAATAACAGTCCTAGCCAACTTCGGGTTAATCCCTTCCTTCTTGAGAGGAACTTTGTTCTGCTTGTGATTGCTCGTATAAGAGCCCATCCGCATTATACGCAAGACGGGCACGGCGTAGCTTAGGAGACTTTTAGACAAATGTTCTACTAGCGCTCTGTAGTCAGGGGTGGCCGAGAACTCGGGGCCGAGCCGCACCGCAGCGCGACTATCGTGGTTGGGCAACTCAACGACGTATATGGTGGCCTCTAGGCCTCCTAGGAAACAGCCTAAGACTTCTTTAACCTCTATAGTAAATAGGTTCTTAGATTTCTAGCGATAAATATCTCTAAGTCGATTAAGAAAATATTAAAGACCTTCTAAGCTCTTCCTTAAGGTATCCCCTATTTAATAATATATGTCTCTTTTCTTAAAAATATTAAGTTAAAGCTTCTTCTTAGTTATTTCTAGCGATTTCTAGTATCCCTAGAATATATCCTTATTCGGAAGAGCTATTATTAACTCTCCACCCTCCTTATAAGCTTCTCCGGATATATCTAGAGGCTAGGTCCCTCTAGATATCTCTTATTTCGTAATCTACCTTAACTAAGATAAATATATTATAAAAAAGAATCCTTCTTAATAGCCTATAGCAGCCCACAGAATTAATATTAAAAGGCCTATAGGGCAAATTAGTAAGTCTAAATATTATTTTAATAAAACTAAAGAATTTAATAACTTCTAATAATATATATAATAAGTATATATACTAAATAAATATATATATATTAAAAATTCCTTAATTATTATTAATACTATTTAATTAATTAATTATTAATTAAAAATTATACCTTAATTCTATTCTAAATATTAAATCCTTTTTATACTTTAAGCGCTTTAAAATAACTTAAATTTAAATCTCTAAGGCGCTATTAAGCTATATTAAATTAATTATTAAGCCTTATATCGCTAATATAATAATATTTAATCTCGATATAATTAGATTTCTAAATTATATAAATTATTTAATTTAGAGGAATAAATTATTATTTAATTTATTCTTAATATAGATTCGCGAGGATTTCCCCCGCGATTATATAATATTAAAGAAATAACTAATTAATTACTTATTAATTATAATATATTACCTATTAGTAAGTATTAGGCTTCTAATTTTATTAAGTAATACTTAGACCTTAAAATATATTTTTTTTAAAAGTATAATTATTAGAGAGCTAAATATAAAGATTTAATTATTATTTATAATTAATTTATAATTATAATAAATATAATTATAAAATATAATATCTAATTAGAAAATATTTATAACTTTAATAAAATTAGCTTTATAATAAATATAATTTAAAGTAAAATAATTATTATAGGTATAAATAAATATAAAAAATTAAAATTAATATAACTTAGAAACTAAGAATAAATTATAATTATTTAAGTAATTAATATAAAAAACTAAATAATCTTATTATTTATTATTAATATAGGCTAATATTATTTTATTAATTAATATTAAGAAAATAATCTCTTAAGTAATTAAGCTATTATAATAACTTAAAATAATTAAATTAATAATAAAATTAATCTAAAATAGCTAAAATACTTTAATTAATATATAATTAATTAATTAATTAATTTTTATTATTTTTTAATCCTTAATAATTATAAAAATTATTATTTTATTAATTTTAAGAGGTTTTATTAAGATAATAATATTATTATATTTTATATATTATTT